ATGATTCAACTGCCTCATTTGTATTTTGCAGTAGAGATGTGCAATTTGGAATTTTCAGCTTGTAAATATTTACTTACATTGCACAGTGTTTTCTATCCAAGTGAAGATATGGTCATTACCATCAGGAGCTTCGTTCTGTTGTACAGATACATGCTTCTGTTTCTATCGTAGAATAAATTAATTTTCACACCGTCATAATTTAAGCCAAAAATCCTCCTCGATCAGCACAGTCACACAATAGCTGCAGGCTGGGTATAATTTTCAGGAAAGAGCTTCGATACATGTGAAGTACAGAGTGCTTTGATGTTACATGTAAAGTGATAGAGGCTATTTTAGGCATCAAGTGTATGCTGAGATCTGTACTGAATGTACTTAACTCAGCCGAGGGCTGGGTTTGTTATCAAGTAGGGGTGTCTCCTTTGCACCTCAGTGTACATGTCAACACAGTAGCGAGTCCTACTCCCTTATTCTTTCAAGTTCTGATGCACATCCTGTCCTGAAAACTGTGGCCGGATACTGCAATTAACACATTTATGGTACACTGGCTGACAGAAATGGCTTGTGACATGTACTGATCTTATCTGAAGGAATTAATATTTTACTGTTAAATGATTAATAGGCTAATTCCATCTTTGGCACAAGGCCCTCACTCTGGGACCATGTGTCTGCCTGACACTTTGCCAGCTGTTTTCAACAAAAAACATATGGGAAAGGGCACACTCATCCAGGTTATATTTAAAATGTGATAAATATTCTGTTACGTTACAATGGCATTTTAAACAGTCATCTTAGTAAAAATATATGACAACAAGCCTTATTTTAGTGCACACTTTTGTATAGCACTTGTGCAACTGAAGGACAGGGATAATACTGTATCCAAACTTGAGAATATTTAGCTCTCACTTGTGGTTCAGTAGCAGCAGTGTCCAAGATTTATTTTTCAACCTGGGCCTACAGAACAGGTTGTTTGCTCTTTCTCTTAGACGCTGTCACGGCTGTAAGTGTTGTAGGGCTTGCTACCACTGCCCTGGGCCCATCTGCCTATGGGTGGCAACAGGGTGGACCTCGGCTTTGGATCACCTGGTCTGCCAGGAAGTTGGTCTTACGTTTTCTCGTCTGCCATGACTTTGATGAAATATATTCCCAGGAGGCACTGCCTGCAGTGATCCTGCCTGGTCTCAATCCCTGTTTCTTCTGTGGGGCTCCAAACTTCCCCTTTACCCCAGCCTAGCCTCTCCAGACGGTACTCACAAAATCCTTCTGCAGCCAGGTTGCAGTGCTGTCTGTTGTGGTATTGTTTGGCCCTCTACCTCCAGGGTGATCTTTAGTCTAGATTAGGTACACCCTTTCCAGGGCTGGTTTTGGCCCGTGCTCAAATCTCAAAAGAAAAGGCAAAAAAAAAGCCTCACGGAAAACCCCGGCTGCTCTCAGCCTGCTTGTCAGGCTCAGTGCATGTCTCCTTTTACCCAGAATCAGGTTCTCAAAATCCCAATTGCAGCAATCAAGAAAATCCCTTAGTTTTTGTTATGCACTGGCACTCCTATGAACATTCACAGTCTCCTTGGGGTCTCCTCTATGTGCAGGAAGGCTCTACTTGTAACTGTAGTTTCCCTCAGGCTCCTCCTCCAGATCCTCTGTTGAAACTCTGCTCCGGAGATTATCACCAGTTGTGTGTGTGCAGGCCTCCACCTGCCTCTTGCTCAGGGTCACTCAGCAGCGTTCCTCTGGCAAGTTCCACAGCCCTTGCCTGCTGAGATGCTCAGCTGCTCCTCTCTCCCTGCGGCATGCAGGGAACTGACCCCTCTCTGTCTCTCTCCAGGGCCGGAAATACCTTTGGGCAGCCTCCCTCCTCCAATCCTGAGCGAGATGCTGCTCCGGAAATGTGGTGGGTATTTTTCTTCCCTTCCAGTCTACAGCTGCAGGCCTGCTGGCCCTCCATGCTGTGAGTTTTATCTCACTCGTTCACAGATGTCAACTTGTCTACCATGGTCCTTGGCTTTAATATTGCCTCCAAATCAGATTCCTACTATAAATCCTTCTTGAAGATGCTACTTCACTTAAGTTTATATGTCAGTACTCCACGATCTGGACTCACTGCCTAGCAGCTTGGATTGGAAGTATTGGTTTTGATCAACAACCACTAAAAAGTTTGGCATTATACCACCTGAGAGACAATCTCTCTTTCCACATCATATTATCGCCAAGGCAATCAGCAGGATGGCTTGAGCCTGAGTTGAAGTCTCCAGAATGCAACACACAAGGAACTCTTAGCAGTCTGCCCCACCTTGGTCTCATTTGTTTTTTCTGAATTTGTTGAACTAGAAGCCACACAAAAAAATCATTTTCTTTGAACAGGAGTTTGTGGGCTGCAAGTGGGTTTTTCAGTGGGAAACTGCAAGACGCAGGATTTTAATTTTGACCTCAATCCTACCGACACTAACAAGTGCTTAATTTTAAAGAAATGAGTAATCTTACATTAATCACATGCAAAAATGTTCGCAGGATTAGCCCGTACCTTGTATTATATTTTGATGTCTGGTGGCTGTATGCGACTGGAAAGAAAAATGCTGCTCTTTTGACTTTTATAATGCTTAATGTTTGAAGGTGGGTTTTTTTTATATCTGTAATACAGATATCATTAAAATTCTTGGATTTATCCATATATATGTTAACCCATGAAATACTCTCTCAATTACATAATATAATAGAAGGCTTGGAAAAGCCCAAATTATAAACTATGTCAGTTTACTGCATTATATGTGAGCCTATTTAAGACAAGAAAAGTATTACTATTCAAAATTTCAGACACCTGTATAAACCTAGTGAAATATTTTTGCTCCAGAATCTGCCATTAGATATTAAATTATGTTGTGCTCTGATGTGGAATAGAACTATATCTACCAAAATCTTTCAGTAAATTGACTTGATAATTAGAGAATTACAGAATGATTTTTTTTTAAAGCCCAATAACCCAGTAGCTATTTCTTTCTTTAAACACTATTATGATGGTCACGAAATGCACATTCTGCATCACAAATATGAAGGACATAGTATGCAATTCTCTTTGGAAAAGTCAAATATAGGGGGATCCTTGTCCAAAGGAGACTGCAGGGCTGGGTATAGACACTGGCACTGACATTACAGGGATTGTACGAACTAAAATGTGCTGGTTTCTCTGGATGGGGCTGGCACAGAAAAGCTGTTTTCATGGAGTGCTGACTATAGTTAAATTTCCATGAGGACTTTCTTCTCATTGCAGAGCATCTGGACAAAAACAGGGTGAATGATCAGACCAAAATCAACTACACCTTGTTGTATATTGAGAACAGTCAGGACTCTGTAACTTTGGACTGAAAAGATTTCTAAAGCAAAGAGCACGCTGGAGCATGAAATGTGCAGACAGCAGGTTAAGTAACCAGGTGTGACAGAAGTTGTGTCTTGATTATGACACAGGCTCTCTCCACACTTTATCTTAACTAGGAGATTTTCTTACACAGTCTAATAATGCAAATTTAAATCCTGGTCCAGATGGACCAGGAAGAAGAGTTGGAACTGGCATCTTAGCTAGAGATTCTTTATGTAGTTCTATAGTTGTTTCTATAGTGACTTTAACAAGAGATCCTCATGTTAAAACAGGGCTGTCCAACATATAAGCCCCCCCAGAGGCCACATGCATTGGGGGCCACATGAGTCAGGCCTCCACCTGCAGCGGCCACAGACTGCATGGGCAGCAACAAGTGTGCCATGTGAAGTGCCCTCCTTTCTCCTGACTACCGCAGTCCAAGCTTGTGAGAACATTCCTCCCCAACACTGGGCCATCCCTCCCCAACACTGCAATCCCCATGGTACACAGCCCCAATTCCTTTCCTGCCCCCTATCACCTGGTGCCGCCCTAGACTCCCCAGCATCCTGTCCTGCCACACTGCCATGCCCCCTTAGATGAATGCATGAAACAGCAGCTAGAAGAGGGAGCCTGGAGACTCCAGCTGCTATTACAGCTGGAGAAATTGGGGGAGTGACAACTTGGTGAGAGCCCAAGGGCCACATATTAACCCCTTCCAGGCCACCAGTTGGACAGTCCGGTGTTAAAAGATAATAGAGCCCCTGGCTTTACAGGGCCTAATGAGGGACTGAATCAGCCCCAGCTTGGTCACTCCATCCTCCCTTTCCACTAAGAATTCCAGCCCCATAGGACATCCTTTGCAAGGTCATAAGGATGAGAGGCAGGCTTGGTTCCTTACTGGTGGCAGATACCCTTTTCTACACTAACGGAGACCATGTGCAGACTGGGAGTCCCCGCGTTGTGTGAATGGAGGCAATGCTCTGTGACAGAAAATTATGTCTGTGTGATAAATGTGCTTGCAGAAGGCTGTGTGAAGATTAGACTAGGTGTTTTTTGTCATTTGTATTATAAGCTGTATGTCGTCGCTAAGAGCCTAATTAAAGTCAAAGATTAGTGAGGCCTTACATGGAGTGAAGCCTAATAAATTTAGCAAGGCCATGTAGAAGTAGTAGTAGGCTTTGTGGTGCAGTTAAAATTAACCTTATCAGAAGAATGCAAAGGCTTGTACTATTATTGGTCAGTCCTAAGAAGAGTTGCAGTGGGAGAATCTGAATGGCAGTAAATTATCAGCATACCTCAGAAGTTATAAATTAGCTAGCACATCCAGAAATTATTCAAAGGAAGATGCAGTGGTGTGAGAGAAGCTACTGATTTAAAATTAGGTGCTGACCTGGATTCGGTGGGCTAGTGGATCTTGAGGAACCCGAGGCCAGTGCCGATTGGGGACGCCTGACTTCGCTGAGCTTTGTAGAAGAGGCACTTGTCATACATCAGGCATCAGAGGGGACTGCTAATAAGTTGCTGATGCAAATTGTTATTGTCTATCATTGCTGCCTTATTATATTATGCGTAGTTGTATGTTTGTTAAGTCAATAAACCTTCCTTACCTTTTTACCCTCAACCACTCTCTCAATCCTGAACCCTCCACTGGCAGCTGGGACAGTGCTCTGGTCCAAAGATTTTAATTACAAGTGGCATTCCAGGCCTCCTGCTGATGGCAGCCATTTTTGTTACATATTATCATTTGTGACACTAACAGTAAGGAATAGTTGCCAGATGACCCACAATTGGAACTGGGAACCTACTGACCTAATGTAGGCTGCTCAAACACAGCAAAAGTGTCAGGTGATTTTAAAAGAGCTGCTGTGGAGTAAGGCCTTTTGGCAAATGTGCTGACTAGGAGCTACTCCTGCAAATCCTGCTCTCCTTAGTCCAGGTGCAGTGTATCAATAATGTCTGCTGTATTATGCAGAGAAATAGCTTGAGAGTTCATTCTCCCCGACCTGTGGAAAGGCTCCTGAACGGGGTTGCTATGAACATCATCTTCTGAAGCAGCAATTGTCCAGGGGCAGCAGGTATGCTGTCTATTTATGGAGCAGAAGGTGCATTTCATTAAATTTATGGCGGAGTACACAATAAGGGGATATGTTTCCTTTAAGGTCCCTGTGAGAGAGAGAAGGAGCCACTGTGCTCCAAAGCACACAGGCTAAACAAAGGCTCAGCGACCCCACGTCCACAGCTCCAAGGAGCCCAGCAGCAATCTCCCTTACCCAGGTGTTTCAGGAGGGTAGGGGCAGAGAACTCCCACACCAGTATAAAGAAGAGCCCAGGACAGGAAAGAAGGAGGAGCACAGAACTGGAAGGAGAAGGAGGAGCAGCACACTGACACATGCTGCAGGGAACTCTGAAAGTGACGTGGAGAGCTTGTAGGAGACTCTTGCAGAGAGTAAGCCCCACGGCGGGGACTTAGAGCCAAGACTACTGACCCGGCGGGGCACAGAACTGTTTGTTTACACGGGAGCTGGCAGAGCCCGGCAGAGAGAATTGTACCGTAATACCCCTAATAGAGGGGCACTGTAGATTTGGCAGTACCGTAAAGCATGTAAAAGTGGCACAGACCAAAAAGATGGTGTCACAGATGGACTTAATGCGCTAAAAGAAATTGTGGCAACCTCAACAAGAGGCCCAGAGAAAGAGAGAGAGAGCCACCAAAGAGGGACTGACTTCACAAAGGTCAATTTTTTTGATCTTGGCTAAAAACAGCAGGAACAATAACACAGGCCAGGAGTGCCTGCTTTGTTTTCTTGTTTCCCTGTCTTTTATTGTTTTTTTTTATTGGAACTCAGGTCATGTTGCAAGACCAACTGACTGGTCAGAACCTGGTGGAACGGGCGAGGGCGTGGGGGTGGCAGAGCCCTCAGGAATATAGGACCCCGCAGGACGACGGTGAGACTACTAATGGGACTACACATTCAGGTAATGAACCAACTCCTTTAACATCAAGTCGTGGCAGTAGAAACGTGGGCATGTAGATCACCAATTAGAAACAGTAACACCCTAGTTGATTGCCAGGCAGTGTCCTACAGGTCTGCAAGTGACAGAGATGACAGTCCCTTACAGTAAAACGTATGTAGAGAGAAAGGCATGTAATTTAATCTAACTAGTTGTGATACTGCAGAAGCAACAGTCAAGCAACAGTGGCATGGACTTTGCACTTCACCACCTAGGTAAGTCTTCAAAGCCACCTATGCTGCAGCTTCTTTGCTTTTGGGATCTGTCTTAATTAGCTGAGAATTATCTCTGATATGTCTGTATGTGCTACAGTAACAATTCCAAAGGCAGTGTGGGTGTTTTTGTCATAGCTGCAGCATAGCAAATGTCTTGTGGAAATGGACGTGCAGACCATCTCTTCTACCATTTACATTTTAAAAACAAATTCCTCTCCCACTAATGATTCAAAATATTGCTGTGGTAATTACAGCAACTTTCATTACCATATTTACTCAAATATAAGATTACCCTGACTATAAAATAATCTACCCCCAAGAATTAGATTCTCTATATAGAAAATTTATAAATGTGTTATAATTTTGCATGGATAGTATCTAATTATTGGAGGTTTGTGAATTTGCCCACCTCCCACTGCTACAGGAGGGAAAATACATCTGGTGGGGTTAAATTTATTGAACTAATAAATCTTGCCCTCTGCTTCCCCCAACTTCTTCCTCCAAAAATTTATATGTAGATAAGGTACAGGACAACTTTGTCCAGCTTCACCTCATGGAGGATGGGGCCATATAAATCATATGCAACAGGCTGAGAGAGGGGGCAACAGAGGAAACTGTTTGGGGCCCGGTGATCTTTGCCAGGCATTTAAGGCTGGTGAAGAAACAGGAATAATTGGAAATAGGAAAGAAAGATGGAACTCAGCTGTGGGAGTGAAGAAGCTAAAATGTATTCAATTTAGTAACTCCCCATTACTTTAAAAGGAGTCAACATTGAGGGGGGCTGTGCTCAACAGGCATTACCATGTCTTACTCAGAGAACTTGTACTAATCTATTCTTGTGGTGGGAAGACAGTAGAAGATGACAGGAAAGAGATGGACATCATATGGAAGAAAGGGGACTGCATAGACATTTCAGAGGCAAGCCCTCCAGAGAGAGCAATGGGGACAGTGATGATGACGGAGATGATGATGAATAAAATGACAAGTGAAAGGACTGGACAAAAGGTGGTGGAGTTGGGAAGGGAAGGGAAGAGAATGGGGAGGAGGGAGAGGGCTGAGGTAGTCCTTTGCATAATTGTGATGATTCAAAGGTGACACAGATGGGTGCACGGGCATATGGGAACACAGGTCTGCAATGTGGTCTTTGCAATGGTACTAAGAAAAGTGCAACTGAAAAAGTGTGTTTTGGACTGTCAAATGAACCATATCAGGTTATCAAAAGACAAGTTGTTAGAAGTCTAGTTTATATATATATATATATAAATAATAACTATTGATATTATTAATATCTATTATACACACACATAATACACCCCCCACCATGTTTGCCCCATATATATTTTATAGTCATACTCAGTATTGGCTGCATTTAATCAACTTTATAGTTGGTTTCCATTACTGAGCACATACTGCCTTTGGCAGCAACCTAATGATAGACAGTGTATTTAATGAGGTTTCCTTCTATGTGAATGTAAGATGAGGGGCTTTCTCCCCCACGGTGATTAGGGTTGGGGGAACTTCAGCTTGTATTTAAGTAAATATAGTACTAGGAAAAATAGGATTACACCTACTCAAGTATTTTTGTCTTCTTACTTTCAACCAGCAGCTAAAAGGAATGAATAGAGACAATACCTTTTAACCAGAGATTGCTTCATGAACTAAGAGTGGCACACAGCTCAGACTGAGAATCACTAGTTTAAGGTCTGATGCTGTTCCTATCCAGAATTCAAGTTGTCATCAATAGGCGTGTTCTGCTGAGGAATGTTTGTAAAATTGGGTTTTATTTTATTTTTTTAATTTTGGAGATTGTACATTAAGTGAAAAGGTCATAGTAATGAAAAGACTCAGTGCTGATGAATGCCAAGAGCCAACACAAGTGGGTCTTAACTGCTAACTGTTCCAATGTCATAACCTATATATTTAAAATATCTAGTAATACATTCCATTTATTTGTAATTAATTCTTATTCTGTTCCCATGAAGCTGAGAGACTCCTGTTCTTTTGACCTGACCAGTATGCCAGAAATTCTACCAGTAATGGTAGAAGAGACAGGTACATTGGCAAAGGAAGAAAATAACCTGTTTTGGGAAACCCAGGACATTTAAAACGTTGCATCTCATAGCTGCTTTTCTATATAAAAGATATACATATCCAGGTACCCAAGAGTATGCCATCTTATACCAAGCACTTACAGTCATTTGTATATTGAAAGATGATTTCTGAAAAAGCATAGCAGTGCAAAATCATCAAAAATGGCAATCATTTCTACACTGTAGATGTCCTGGAGCATTTAAGGACTGGTTACAAATTCATATTCAAAATGACAAACTATGTTATAACTGGTGGAATAGCTACTTATAATTAAGCTATTTACAGGGCAATTACATAAATTAGAAATATTAATATTGTTAAAAAAAATAAGAAACCAAGATATTTCATATAAAAAGAAAAATTCTCACAAGTATAGGACTGAGTGCTGAAAGCTTCTCATTACCACCAACCAGTGTCAGCAGTTACAATTAACAACTTTTTTCTTTTTTTAACATTTTCATAAGGTCATGTGTAGGTATTAAATTTCTACAAGGAGAATCATCATTCTCCCAGTAGAAACTAGGAGCATATGAAAATTCATTCAATTCCTTCTGGAGGAAAACATGCCCCATCTGGGAGAAAGTCTTCCAGGTTAACTCCAAGAAGATGCCCCTTGTGTTTCTCTCATGAGGATGAATGCCTGCACACTTCTGCTCAACTCCTCCATGACCTGGGGTGGGAGGATCACAGTCTGGGGAAGGTGGGAGGGCATGTCCCCGTAACTTGACTCCTCCCATGGAGTATTTGGCCTTCCTGGGCTTGGGGACTCCCCAGTCTAGAGAAGGTGTGCAGGATATTGCTACCTGCTCATTCCCCAAACTGAGGTGTTCCCTATTGGGAGAACGGGCAGAGGGCACTGCTCCTCTCCCCCCTAATCTGGTATGAGGCCCGGGAGTGCATGGGTCTGCAAATGCCACCTGGGGGTGGAGCCAATCAGCACTGCCATGCTGCTCCACTCCCCTCTCCTCCTGGTCTGGTCTACAGGAGGGAGGTGTAACATCAGAGAAGGCTCCCTATCCATTCCCCAGACTGGGTACTCCTGGTCTGGGAAAGTATGGGGAGTCTTTACCTGCCACTCCAGTCCCTCCTCTTCCAGCAATGGAAGGAATGAAACAGCCAGTGTTCCTCATGCCTTTCCCAGACCAGGAATACCCTAGTTTGGGGAAGATGTAGGGTTCAGGGGAGAGGGGACAGCTGCAGGCTGAATGCCTTTACTGCTCCCACTCCTGAGGATTTTTAGTAGTGGAAATGTCTCAAAAATGTCCACCATTAGAAATGAACACCTATTTTAACCTTAAATGAGTGGTGGACAACCTTTTTGGTAGGCATGCCAAAAAAAATAGCCCCACACCCTCCTCAACAGCCACTCCAAACCCCTTCTCATGCCCAAACTGCTCCTCTACTTTTTGCTCCCAGCCCCATGCTCCCTATAGTAGGAATCTAAAGGTTTTGTTACTTTAAGAGGAGAGTGCATGGGCCAGGATTGCTGTGTGGGGCTACCAGCTGGGCAAAGTGCTAGCTCCAAGAAAGTAAGCAAGCCAGAGACAGAGAGTAGGAGCTACCACCAAGAAACTGACTGTCCTGGAGCTAACTGCACTGCAATATGCAGCCAAGGGACAGGCAGTGCAGAAGCAAAGGCTGTAGGCAGTGGGGTTAAGCTGCAGCAGAGCAGGGCAAGTTGGCTATCAAGCCCAAGTGGAAACCCTTATGTCTGGCTGGGGAGCCACAAGACAGGAATGGGTGTGGCTTTGGGGCACATAAGCCCAGTGCCTACGATGAAGCAGGAATTCTGAGCCTGCATGTGGCAGGGAGAAAATCTCCAAAGGGAGATGGCTTGCAGTGAGGCAATGACCCCAAGTGGGGTGGATTTCATTTGTGCAGTGGTTTGCTGGTATTTATGTTGAGATTAGGTTTGAAACCGGAGGACAGGATTGTGGCTGTAGGAGATGACAGAGAGCATGGAGAGGTGTTTGGTGGGGCACTTGGGGATAAGCAGCCTAGCCTGGGGTAAGGGACCCAGAAGGCTGAGGGTTGGTGCAGGTGAGTTAGGCCAAGGTTGGAAGAGCTAAGGCCAGCAAAAGGAGCTTAGCTTGGAGCTGGAGACCCAGAGGGCTGAGGACTAGGTGAACTGGGTCAAGTCTGGGGGGGGCAAGGCCACAAGGAATGACAGCAGCCCAGCCTGGGATCAGGGTCGTAGAAGCGGAGGGCTGGTGAAGAGGTACAGCAGCCTTGCTGGGCCCAAGGGGTTGGATGAGCTGGGCCAAGGATGGGAAGGCTAAGGCCAGAGGCAGTGGAAGCAGCCTGGCCTGGGGTCAGGGACCCAGAGGGCTGATTTGGAGAAACAGCCTCCATGCTGGGGCCAAGGGCCCAGAGGACTGGAGGAGGGCTAAGGGTACAGTAGTGAAGTCAAAGCCAGGCAAGAGCTGAAGTCAGAACAGGTTTGGGGTGAGAGGGCTAAAGCCTGGGGAATGGGGTCAAAGCCCAAGAAGGTAGAAGCTAAACTAGGGCCAGGGGCCCATTGAGAAGTGAGTGCCCTGGCAGAGCCAGGGGCCCAGCAGGTTGAGTGGATTGTTTGACAGATGAAGCCAGATGGCCCAGTGGATGAAATCTAAGCTCCTCCTCTACACATTACAGTTTAATTGCAGAATTACCTCAAGACCAGCTACATGTGCAAAATAGCTATCACACAATAAAAAGCTGCAACCAGCTATAAATTTAGACCTCAAAAATGTGTACTAACTTTATAGCTGGTTGCTATCCAGCTCTAATTTGCACATATACAAGGGTCTCCCCTGCAGTTGGAAGCCCCATCAACTGACAGGGCTCCTAGCTGCAGGGGTGTACCGTGCCCAGCATGAAATTCCTGGGCCTGGGGGATTGCAGTAGCCATGATCCTCAAGACTCAGGGGTGTGTGAAAACCCCAGGCCCACATGGACAGCCAGGACCAAGAGTCCCGCACCTGAAGAAGTTAGGGTAGTTCTTGTAGAAGTTAGAAAGTCGTGCTTCAATCTTTCACCTTCAATAGTACAAAAATCCACATACAAAGTAAAATTTCACACACACACTAACCAACAGCCAAATCCTCACTTTTTAACTTAAACACAACCAAGTTCCCAGGATGTCTCTCGGTGGGCACACAGTATACTTGGAGCCATTTCAGAAGTGGAACATTTCAAAAGGGGAGTTGCTGATTGGGAGCAAGGACCAACTATTGCATTCTAATGCTTACAGGTGGACAAGCTCAGAAATGATACACATGTAGTAAAACAGCTCCAATTTTAACACTGTTTTATCCAGGTTTAAGTTGAAAAAATTCTGCTACATTTATACCTTTCCTGGACCATCCACACATAACTGTTAGAATGTAAAGCTGCTATGAGGTTTAGAGCAAGAGTCATTCCACATTTGAAAGCCCTCCCCCACCCCCTTTCCCCACTTACCCAGACAGGTCTCCAGAGATTCCAAGGGTGGATCTAGGTAAGCAAGTTCCTGTGTCGAGGCACAGGGTACCAGGGAGACATAAGCTTTCCATTCTGGGGCCCGAAAATGCTTTCCTCAATTAAGGAGACTGGATATCATGAATGGATCTCTGTAAACAGGGAGCCCCAACTTCCCACATTGTAGAGAAACATCCCGAGATTCCACAGGGTGCCTCTGTAAGTAAGCTGGGCAGGTAATTCAGGGGCTGTCAAGCCTCCGGAGAACCTGCCTGGAGTGGCTGGAGAGCACGGACAGCTTGAGCTGCCTGCATTCTCCTGCTACAAAGCTAATAGATGTCCACCACCATAAAGCAGAAGAATCTATTGCTAGCTTCTTTGCACTGCTAATTTTGCTCTGAAGTGGCATGACAAATGGTAAAGTATTTGCTCACCATTTGTGACACCATAAAAATTTTTATAGCGGCACAAATTAGACATCAGGTGACAACTGTTTCTACCCCTACCTTCAACAGCACTAGCATTTCAAGTTCTCAACAGGAAAATCCCCACAAAAATACTGTTAAAAATCCATACCAAGTGGCTAAACAAGGATTGTATTCTCTTGGATACATGTAGATATTAAACAGCCAAGGAATGAAGGATTCCAGGTGGTGGGGAATCTTGTGTTCCTTTTAAATTCCAAATGTGATCTGTGACTTAAAAAATTTGGAGATGACTGGCATATAATATCCAAGGTCTGAAACAAATTTTGCTGAGTTCTCTAAATGTTTAAGTGACATCAAGGAATATCTAGAGAACAACCAACCTACTGGTACAAATAAATAAATTAAAAATAGGTACATTCTTCATCACCTAAGGAAGGACATAAAATTATAAGGGAAGAGTACTGTCTCTCTCCTCTAAGCTAGGATTTTGTTAATAACTAGTAAAGAAGTCCCCAAATGCACTTGTGGCAGCCATCCAGGAAATGCATCTGCTGGGTTTATGAGATCTGCTGTTGAGATATACCTGCCAAGTACAAAATTATTTACTTCAGTGCTATCACAGGTTGTTCCATAGGAAGCAGCCTATCATTTTTCAAGGTATGTAATTAGGGCAAGAATCCTTTTTAAAGACTTTTGCAATTCAGATATAATATGCAGCATTCAATGTTACTTTCAATTGGTTACTATGGATCATTAAAATACCCTAAATCAGAGTTGTCCTGCTTCTAAATGGCTTTGGGGCACAGGCCACCCAAACTCACACTGTGCAGGTTGCATGTTACTGGGCCCGCTTGTCACACCATACCACAAAAGCCCTCCCTATCATACCACATGGCCCCAAATGCACCACACAAGCCCTTCCCTCCCCAGTGCCACACTGTGAGGGCCCCCATTGCTGTATCACATGGGCTCTGCTCTACCACATGGGCCCTGATATGCTGCACAAGGCCTTCCCCAAACCCTGATATGTCATGTAAACCCTGTGGCTCCAATGCACAGATGTGCCACACCATGCAGGTCCCAATTCTCATGTTCTGTCCAGCTAAGGGATGATTAAGAGGTATGCTATGACCACAATCCCCAGTATAAACTCCAAGGATGGAGAAGATTTTTTCAGGATGGGACAAAATGTAACTATTGCTAACAGAATGAGTTGCTGACAGTTACAATTCATTTCCAGGGCAGTGGGTAGGGTAGGAAACAAATCCTTCCTGGCATTAACTTCACTCAGCCTTGGTGAGGCCACAGCTGGAATACTACACCCAGTTCTGAGCTCTGCACTTTAGAAAGGATGTGGAGAAGCTTGAGGGAGTCCAAAGAAGAGCCATGTGCACAATTAAAGGACAAGAGAGCACCTATGAGGAGAGCCATGGGACTCTTCAGCCTAGAGAAGTGAAGGCTCAGGGGGGACTTGGTGGCAGATGGCAGTACATAAGGGGTGTGCATCAGGAACTGGGAGAATGTCTATTCACCAGAGCACCCCAAGGGAAGACAAGGTCTAACGGTCAAAAAATCCTGGAAGACAGTTTTAGGTTGGACATAAAAACTTCTTTACCGTCCGAGTCCTCAGAGTCTGGAATAGACTCCCACTAGAAGTGGTTCAAGCATCTACTCTGGACACCTTTAAGAAACACTTGGATGCCTATCTTGCTGGTATCATATGACCCCAGCTGAATTCCTGCCCCTTGGGCAGGGGGCTGGACCCAAAGATCTTGCAAGGTACCTTCCATCCCAAATGTCTATGAAATGTATGAAATCTATGAAACTAAGATCTGTTAAACCAGAGCTATCCAACTTCGGTGCCTGAGGCCCACATGCCACAGGGGCCACATTCAAGTGGGCCAAAGGTTCCCCAGGTGTGAACACCCTTGCCAAACCCACATGTGGGTTCCCCCATAACCACACAGTCTCCTCTGAGTCCCCCTCTCCTCACTGTATGAGACATCTCGAGCTCCTGCTGCCACACAGGCTCCTTTGCCATGTACCCCACACATACACATGGCCTACCTTGCTACTACATGGTCTCTACCACACTCCTGCCACTGCAACCCCCTCTGCAACCTCTCCCCCACTGCATGAGCCAACTCGAGTTCCCACCACTGTGCAGTGTCCCCTGCCAGATGATGTCACCTGGTTCCCAGAGCCTTGGGCTTCCTGAGACTTGGTCTCCTATCCACAGGGATGGGCACAGGAAATACAAGCAAGGCAGGGGCTGGAGGGTGGGACTCAGAGGCTCAGGCAGAAACAGCAGCTAGAGGATGGGTGGAGCAGCTCCAAGGAGGGAGCCTGGGGGCCACAGTTTAACCCCTCTTAGACCTCATTTGACCCACTGGCTGCCATTACACTCAGAATGACTATGATACTAGGGGTCTGTAGAAGTCAACTCTTCATTAGAGGATAAAGTAATAGGATGGCCTATGAGGTTCCCC